AATGATTAATTCAATGTACAGAAACTGTGCAACTATTGACAGTTACTTGTTTATTATATTTCACCCACTGGTGAATTATGCCTGGTATTGGAGTTGTAAGAGATATCTATATCTAGTTCTAGTTCAGTTTCTTGCTTACGGGTAAGATATTCTTCTTAACTGAAGTAGCTAGCCGAACTGGATGGTAGGAGTGGTGGCAAAAAATATTGAAATGATTAAGTCATTTTGATTTTGTATCTGATTATTAAGAGACTTTTGTTTTAGTGAGAAATCGTAGTAAAACGGAGTAAAGAAGCAGATTTTTTCATAACATGTTTTTCATAACGTATTTCATGTTACAATATAATGTCTGCAGTATCTATCTCAGATATCTCATTTCCATTTGAAAAAAAATTATAGTATGTGTAGTACAGTTTTTGGTAGGACAGAAGGTTTGCTTTTGCTGGTACCAAGTTAAAAATATCGTAACTAAAATTTGTATCTACCTTTTAAACGAATGCTGTCTTAGACTTTAATTTAGAAAAATATTCTGAAAATCTATGCAAAATTGATATAAAAATAGACAATATTAAATTTAAAGTTTAATATTATTACTGTATTGGTTAGTAATGACATAAAAATTATTTGAATTTAAAAAATAAATATATAGTTGATTAATGTTTGTACAAAGCAGTATGTATAGTAAACAGTGTCAAGTAGCCTTGGTCATGAATTTGGCACTCGACTCACTTCGCATATTCAAGGTGTATTATCATTCTTCGGCAACTTTAGGAATTCATGAATGTGAAATGATGACACAGAAACTGGTAATGCATTACGTTTCTGTTCGATTATTGTTTTTGCTGAAATTGCTATAAATATTGTTACACGTAATGTTAATTTATCTATACTTACTTGTATTTTTGTAATTTCATACTGTTTTAAAACTATTACTTTTATTGAAATTAACACTCTCATTTTTTACACGTATACTATACGTTTTTTTTAAATTATAGTGAATATAGTGAATGTCCTCAAGATACTAGCAAGACATACGAGACCAGAAAAGGGTTTCGGAGCATGTAAATGAATTGGCAGCATAGTTTAAACCTGGACCTGGATACCTGAACACATGCACATTCAGAATCATCCAATAAAGGTTGGAAACAATAGTCATATGACATTTGATTGTAAAAAATAATTCAGACAAAAGAGTTGATTGTGAAAAGACTACAACTATACCGAATTAAATACAGGATTAAAAGAAAACTAAATGGCCTCGTTATAAAAAGATGTAAGTTTTTTATGGATTATGGAACGGTTTACCCGCCTGTTCTAACGGTATACGCGTTATATTATAGTAGTGAATAATAATAGGATGAGCAAGAAGTCAAGTCAGTTAACCATGATGGTTTTCAGGTAATCCCTGTAGATCTACATTATTGGGTATAGTATTAACAATAGGCATAGGAACAATTTTCTATTATTAATTATATTAATTAGTAATGACTAACAATACAACGATCATTAGATATTTATTAAATATATATTGAACTTAGATCAAGCCTGAGAGTTAACTTTGTTCCATAATCTCAATTAACAGTTTCGAAATGAAATATTTCATAACAAAAATGTGAAACTACAACATATCAACTTACACCATAATAATTATCTATATTATAATTTTCAGTAAATGTTTGTGAAAAGAGATTGTAACTTCAATTTAGTTATGTTATTTACCTGTAACCGGGAAATGAGTGAATGCAATTTGAAAACGATGTGTATTCAACTGAAATATCTATGACATAATATTTGCAACGTTACAAATTATTATGACTTATTTCCTTTACTGCAATGATAGATTCGTGGCTGAATTAATGTTCTATAGTTATTTCCTTAAATATTATGTTACTTTTTAAAATATATATAAAAATGTATTACCATCATTACAATTGAGATTACTTTTGTAATATAGTCTACAGGTTTTATTTTTATGTTTCCTCGTGATTTTGTGTGAAGAAACTTTTATCCCCTATTACACCCCTTCCAGATTATATTTTGAGATAAAGAATAGCCCGTATCTGTTCTCGTGATACAATCTATCTTCACATCAAATTTCATTACGACGAATTACGTTCAGCTGTTTAGTCGTGAAAGATATAAACAGAAAGATAGAAAGACACACTTTCGCATTACAATATTAGTATAGTTTTCATATTCACTTTTTTTAAATATGTGTTACATAACGTTGGTATCTGCGTCAGTGATGGTGTAAAGGTCTATTTCTTGCATATAATAAAGGAAATAGGCTATTAATTGCGATTTCGTCCGCGTTTTTTAATCTAAGAGATAGCGAAAGCCCTTCCTCATGATATTATCTATCTTTATGTCAAATTTAATTAAGATCTGTTCAGCCCCTTAATTAGAACTGGAATATAACGACATGTGTGTCTATTGACACTGTCGCATTTATGATATTTGTACGAGTGAATGAGTAAAGCAAACGCTTCTTGTAATAAATCTACAAGTGCATTCCATCCTTTTTAAGTAAAATCTCTTTTATAGTACCTTACATAATTGGACCTGATATAATTGGACGGTATGATATAGAAAAAGGTTAATTTAATTTATGTTGGAAAAGAATACTAACAAATATTTTCATTTATCTGACTGTATTTTTCGTTTTCTAGTATTTTTTATTACTTGGTAATACTGTCAAGTTAATCTGTATAAAACAACTAAATCACGAATATCTGAGGTCAGTAAACAGACTTAGCCAGTTTAGGTTTCAATTAGTTCGTTTCATTAATTCCACATGATCGAGAATAGAATAGTAAGGTGTCAGTCTAAAAGGATTTTAATAGAGTAAATCTAACATTCCCTGTATAATTAATATGTCAACGAATCCAGGGGATACAACTGTATAATAAAGTCTTAAAAATGGATGAAATGAATAAGAAACAAATCCAATATTATTTTATGAGTATTAAAGTAGATATTTACATTTGTGTATATACATATATATATATGTACAGAATATATTGTTATTTTAACAATAATATCTCACTGAAAGTAGTTTGGTTCAAAAACGAAACAAGATTCCAGCAAGGTTTATTCAAGTCTAGACATTGCTCTAGGGACTCAGAATTGAGACCGATTTTGTTGAAATGTGCGGAAGGGTCTAACCAGACGATTTTAAAAATCGATTTTACGTTCTATTTTTGTATACATCAAACTATAAACACCTTGTATATCTGCCACACAGATTTGAGAATGCATGGCAAGCAATAGACATGGCGCCTATGAGACGCACCAGAGACGTCATGTGAGGACAGGATGTCCGTGGTGCTGTTCCTATATGTAGGTGATGCTTAATGTATTCCATCAAGCAGGCCGACAACTTGGCAACATCTTTCTGCTCTCAACAGGCAGCGCTTCTCACTCTGCCTTCTTCAGATCAGATCTATACGATTTCCACCAGGGTTAGAGACAGCCGATAGTCTGACATTATGGCATCATGCCATTGTTTATAAAATTTCTAATGCGTTTCTAAACAATGTATATTGAAATAGACTGAACTAAATTACATGCTATATATGTGCTGGTAGAAAGAAATAAAATTGACTCTATAGTCAGTTTTATTAACATAATATATACTATATCAGATGTATATGTATAATACAATTTAAGCTTAATTTTTATACTACCTACCTTAATTTATATTTTCTAAGCTTCTATTTAGTGTGTATAACAGAAATCTTTTCTATAAACATTTACGCATGCTGGGCAACCAGTAGTTAAGTAATACTGATTGCCCGGCAGCAAATGTTTACAGACATTTTGTTTTATTTTTTTACAATTTTGATCAAAAGTCTCTTATAATTAGTTGATTTAATATAAATTGTATGCATGAAAGAATCGAGTCGCTGATCCCCTAATTTATCGCTCACAAAGACTGCGGAAACGGGAGCCGTGAACAAAACAAAGCCAGTCACGCAAAAACCGAAGGAAATTTTAATCAAACGAAATTGTTCCTGTACGCACTTCATTGAATTGTGCGTCCAAAATAATGCCAACACAAAGCGGCGACCGTGCACACGCCTACACAACACGTAGACCCGGGTTTACAAGACATGTGTGAATACTGCCACGCCGGCGGCCGCAGCAGTAAAATTTGTGCCATAATAAATAAATATCTTACAGCCCTGTCTAGTATCAAACCGGAGACTAAATTAAATAACAGCATTTTTTTTTTGTGGAAAATGAGCAGAGGGTGTACGTAGGGTGTAAGTGGTAGGCAACAGTTAGACGGAGAATATTTTTGAAAATACGAACTGTGGACTACTACGTATAACACTCAGGTGAGCAAGAGGAGGGAAAAAATTGTTATACTACTGCATTGTTTTGAATTCTTATTCTACCTCTATTAAAAGTAAATTGCTTTTACATCTTTAACATACTCGTAAATTATTGATGGCACTCCAAATCTGCAGAAATTTGCAAAATGATGGAAGACCAAAATCTACCAAGTGTAAATAAGTTTTGGTTATACCTACATTTCTTCATTCAGGTTAATTTTGCGTTTTTAGTCATATATAACAAAAATGATAAAATGAAGCTACAATCTTTTGTGACTTCAGAAAATCCATTTTATTACCGCATAAAAGTCTATTTATTCTTTTACAGTATCGTGTTTTATTATTAATTATCTTTTTTTTATTTATTATTAGAAATCTTTTAAATGTTATAAATTCGTTAAATGAAATAATTTACCACTATATTATTTTTTTAAACCTAATTCGATTGTTAGAGTTAATTTGTATAATTGCATACACATTAACTCTAACAATCGAACTACAGATAAAATTAACGAATCGCCGTCAAAAGTTCGTGTGAAAAAGCTCATTTTGTTTGACGCAGCATTCGCGTTGGGCTTTCGAGTGTCGGCCTGGCTCATGCATTGCCGTTCCCCCAAGGCAAACCCAACCAAGCCCAAGCCCAAGTTAGTTGGAAGTGTCGCGTGGTCGCGGCGAACGTGCCGGGCGTTACGCTCATGGACACTTTATTTTCATTCACGAAACGTTGGCATTCAATGAACTTAGATAGATACACCTATTTATTCATTATACTGATATAGTCTCTACTATCGGTGCTTTGTGTCTGTTCATGTTACCAATACGATTTGTTTTTTTTAAACGAATACCTAGAGCTCTAACATTTTCGAGCAAGTTGTTTCGATGTGTGAATTCTGAAGTTGTTCGCAGTGCTTTCAGTGTCAGCTGTGTAAGCTCGTTTGTTGTCCCTCTCTGTTGACACCAAAGGGAAAGAGAGGTCGGACTGCACCGAGCACTTTTGTTTTCATGATTTTCTTTACTGAAAAATAGAGCGAACTGATGAAATGTAAGTGTTGTTACTGTGTGTACTTTATATTATATTTTCATAAATCCTTTATATTTTTGAGATAACAAACCTTATATATTTATGTTAATTCAAATTATTGCCGAATATTTATTTTTGATATCATTAGAACCAAAAGTTTAGAAAATATAAATGCATACATATGTAAGTGAATATATTTGAAGATCGCTCCCAGTCATGTGGATGTCTGTAATTAAACTAACGTGTGTTTATAAATAGTTCCACTTAGTCTCCACTTTGAGTTTATCTTGTACGATATCCTTTACCGCGTACAATGTTTCTTACAATAGTCTTTACAAGTAGATATGTATATTATAGGCGTGTAGTATATATGTATATACACTATAAACTGTTACTTGATATTTTTGTTTATTATCATGTTCTTCTCTTAATTGTATCTGCTTGTTTCCCGTAGTTTTATGCATAATCTATGTACCTACATGTGCTTTCTGATTTCTGAATGGTATATCGTATACTCAATACAAAGCAACTTCTTTGTTACAAACAAACAAGTAGTTGTACAAATCTCCATAGAAGATGTTCCATGTTATTCATTGACATCATAACAATATAATATTATTTAAATATAAGATTAAATACAAGACTAGTTGTTACCCGTAATATCGTTTGCACAAAATTTCTTTCATCCCCTTCCAATATTTTGTTAAATAAAATGTACCCTATGTGCTTTTTTATTTAATTTTTATATTGAAATTTGAAAAGAAAATTTATTGTATCCCATACAATAAATTTTCTTTCAATAAGTTCAATAAGTTCCGTCCAATAGGTCGTGAAATGGTCGGTCCATTGACCGACAGATAGACGGACATACTTTCGATTTTTTTTATATTAGTATGAATGTAATGACGTATAAAGTCTAATACAGCACCTGTGTATCCAGGTTTGTCTAGAAAGGTGTAAATATTTAGACGAATGTTCGAATAGGTATTTGCTCTACTTTTAAATCAAGTTATATTTATTTAAAATGTTGTTTTGATTAAATTCCACCATTTCCTTTATTATGATTATTTAGTTCATGGATTCTATACACTTATTTATTTAGTAATATGGTATGTTATCTGTAATTGTTCAGTAGTAGAAATGTAAAACCAGAATTTCAACTAACTTTATTACCTAATTATTTTTTTTCTGTTTGTAATGAACAGGTCAAATAGTTAATTATTAAATTAAAAATAAACTTGTTAATTTTTTCCTTGTTTGTACTAATTAGTTATTATCAGCATTTTTGTGTAAACGCGTGGGCTTGCTGTGCTTTTGTATTTGTATGAAATAAATTTACTCTTAACATTTTCAAGTAAATCAAAATATTCAATTAAAAAAGAAACTTTGCATAAATTTATAAATACCTTGACAATTTATGTAATAATGAGTACATATATACCTTCTTAAGGTAACAAGATTCTTACTGAAGATTTTGTACATGTTTAATCATTTTTGAAAGAACGTAGGTAATTTGTATTTCATCTTATCGCATTTAAAAAAAAACTTTGATTATTACTATTCATCTATAATATTATACAATTAAATACGATTGGTGCAATTATTATTGAGTATCTATATTTAATTGAATGACAATCAAATTCAGAATCATTTCACTCAGTTCGAATATTGTTCCATACTGTCCACTGATCGACAGATGCGTTAAGGTCCCGACCGTTCTCCATACAAAATGTGCCACTACGAAAATTTAGTACAGCTGTACTAAATTTAGTTAATTAACTCGATGAAATTTTTTAGGCAACTAATATCATAAAGCAACTAATATCAACGTTACATATTAGACAGGCACTCTATGAACAAGGTGATTTAAAATTACATGTAAATGAAAAACGATTTCACTAAAAAAGATCTATGTTTAACTCGTTTGTATGAATAATGGAATTATAATTACTGTAGTTCAGAATAACGCAAAAATACTTTTATGTTTACTGTAATAATAGAGTAAGTTGATTAGAGCGGAAAATAGATATTTACAGTAAAATTGCGATTGAAAATATTGATGTCGCATTTAGTTGAGGGGAGACGCAAGGTGTGTAAATAGACATAGAACGAATGTTGAAGTGTTCTTCATCTTATATCGTATTTTATTGGACACGGTCTTCTTAATCGAGAAGCTTTCATCCTGACGAACTTGTCTCATCCTGTCAATAACCGACTTCGAAAACAAGCAATTGAAATGCCTTTTCACCCATATTTCTGAAGCGATATCTGATTCCTTACATTATATCAAGTTATTATTTATCAACATTTCTATGTTGATATATGATAAAAAATATATTATCAAACATTTATAATGTTTGATAATATATTTTTTATCAAATATTCCTACTGCACATTCTGATAATACATTTTTTATTGAGTATATGTATATGAACGTACGTAATTAAACATATGCTTTGTCCGTTCACTTGAATTTTGTAGGGCATCGCACTTCACTTGCCTGAATGACTCCAATATCAATTAAAACTTTATTTGATATATCTGTTATTTTTAATACATATGTAGTCTATATATATATACATACTCTAGCGCAATCTAGTCCCCAACTAAGCTACTAAATTGAATTAGTGGTTTCAACCGATTTATTTAAATTATGATTTTCTCTTTGCACCTAATAGGAAACATCATAATTTAAATAAATCGTTATTTAATTTGCAATTTGCATAAAATTAATTAACCTACCTATTATATTCTTGTTAAAGAATAAACATTACTTCAACAAAGTAAATTTTCCCTATAATGTTACATTGTATAGAAACTATACATTGTCCTGTTTTTGAATTATAAATCTGTACTTCAAAAAATACCCAGAGTTCAAAGATACCCATCGTCTCTTATGAGTTATACGACCTTTTTAACTGAACTGCAAGCTAATTAGACATATATGTTATATTATATTATATTAATAACTAGCTGTACTCGCGACTTCGTCCGCGTGGAATTCAGCTTTATTTTTCTACATTAAAAGTTCTTAAGTTACTCCTCATTATATACATTAGCTATCTACCAAAAAAGTCCCGTCAAAATCGGTTCAGTCATTTCAGATATTAGCCGAAACAAACAGAAACACAGACAAAAAATGCAAAAAAAAAAATTATTTTGGTGACTAGTATTTATATTTATATGTATGTAGTAAAAAAACGGTTATTTCAATATTACAAACAGACACTCCAATTGTATTTATATGTATAGATTATTGTGTTATTTATACAAATAAATAGCAGTAGTATATAATGTTATTCAAAACAAATATAGACACTTGACGGCCTCGGTGGTCCAGCGATTTGGCACACCGCTTTACTTCCGGTGGTCGCGGGTTCGATTCCTCGCATGTTCGATTCGATTTCGAAAAATTTCGAGTTCGATTACTCATGAATACAAATGTTTGCACACATTTGTATTTATGAGTATTATTATTATGTATCAGTCTGGGTGTTCTATGTAAATATGTTATGTAATTTTTTACAAAAAAAAATCTAAGTATTTATATGTCAGTTGTCAGTTGCGTTTTGGGTAGTACCCAAAACGCAAGTTCTGCTTACCTTGGGACTAGATGGCGCTGTGTGAATATTCCAGGGGTATTTATTTTTTGTTTATTTATTTATTGTACACAATCACTGTTTACACAAAGACACGCAGTTTTATAATTAACTCTTTTTCGAAGTTGGTACAATACATAAAAATACAGAATTTATTGTTAGGTTGTTCCTTGTTTACCACCATAGTAGTATAAAAAAGATACACAATCTTATTGGCTAAGATGAATTACCAGAAATATTCTGTAAAAAGTCATCTCCGTACCAAAATCTCACCTATTACAGCCACCAAGAAGCTTAATTTGTAACCTGTGCTTCGTAGGGTCAGTTTAGGCAGTATAATTACGGGATAAGAGGCACGATATCTTACTCTTCTGAAAGGGCAACATGTTGTACATTCGATACTGTTTTAATTAACATTCATTCTTACATTATTATATCCCCTCCGATCGATACCCCGTCCACTTCAAACGGGAATAGAAATTACGACGGCCTGAGCGGAAGTTCGAACCTAACGTTACCCTCAGACTAAGGTCGTATCCGTGAGACGGAACTATGCCTTCCGCGGGTTTGGAGTCCCATCTGCACTCGCCTCTGTCATCCGGTGAAGCTGTAAAGGCCAGCTGCGGCCAACAGCATTAGAGTAATCCAAAAAAACATTCTTGTACTTAATTGAAGATTTATATTGTTTATAATATGTTGTGGTCACAGTAAAGTTGGCTCTTATCAGTTTAGACGCGGGCCACAGTTTGTCCTCAACTTGTGTGGTGTCAAGCTTTACTATCAATGGATTTTCTGTTTACTACGTTCTTTCGTTATCTACGAGACAAATATATAATATTTATCAGAAATAATTGTAGTTTTTATAATTATATATGTAGTGAAATAAAATGACTCATTGGAGCTCTTTCTAAATAGATACTTTCCATAATACAGGAATGATCATAAATGTTGTTTCCAATTTACTGTTATTTAGCAATTAATAACAATTTAAATGAAATTTTTTCATGCTTTATTTACAAGAATTATTACAATAATAGAAATATTATTCATAAAGTAATTATGATAATAATGATTAAAGTACAAGTAGGTTATTTTATTAATGTATGTAGTGTGACATACATTAATAAAATAACCTACTTTTTAATACAATAAGTATAATAATTATATCCACATATATGTATTTATATTTAAGATGATGATGTTATGTAATGTTGTAACATTTATAAGTTGCTACTAATAATATGTTTCTTTGTTGAAAAATCAATTCCATATTGTAAATAGTAATTATGTAGTAATAATTAGTAAGGTAACATAATTCTTTATTTTGTTGCAGAAATCGCTTTCTATATCTTGTGCATACAAGAATATTTTAAGTAAACAAGGAACATTCACACCACCCACGAAGCAAGATAACGCAGCGTCCCGTCCACAAAACGTAATCTGGTACACGGTAACAGGAAACGATGAAGATAGAGTCCTCATCGTAGATATATCATAGATGAGAGACAACTTTCACATCATTGACACTATTATGGTTAGCTGACGATTGCCTAGCGATTCGAGAATGATTATAATAATGTCAACAAACTTACCCACTGCCATACATACAGACAGACGTAGTGTATGTAAAAACAATAATTTTATAACTGCCATAAGATCACCAGAGTATTCTCCCGTAGATAATACAATGACTGCAGCGCATGATAATGGTGCTGGCCTGGTGATAAAAGAAATATGCCAAGTAAGAAATACCTGTAGAGAAATGACCAATGATAATCATTCCAATGATAATTTAGTGGAAATTTATGAAACGACTGATTTAGATAGATGTAGAATACTAAATATGGATAATTACGAATATAAAGAAACGATCGAAAGGCGAGATTCACACATAATCAGAGAATTAAAACGAAACGAAATGCATACTAAAAGATACGTATATGGAAAAGAATCGATTATCGAAAAAAGGATGGAAGTTAATATGTACAGATCAGGACAGGCCACTGATTTCAAATTTAAATTCATCCGGGATGTACGGCAGTGCACAGGAGCGGTTGGGAGGACAATGGGCGTATGCGTGCAAGTTATTGCCGTCATAGGATTATTGTTGACAATGATGGCGACTTGTGATGCGGCGCCGGTGAGTTCCCGACTGGAGCGCAATGCACATTCACATGTGGTAAGTTGCTCCTAAGATTTACCTAGTTATTTGATATACTGTGTATATGCAATCATAATCATCATCATTTTAGCCTGTGTCTATCCATTGTTTAGAGGCCTGTCCCAATAACTTTCACCATGTGCAATCTTCCGCCTTCCGCATCCAACCAGTCTCGGCCAGATTTGTTATGTCGTCGGTCTATCTTGCAGGAGGGCGCCCGACACTCCGTCGCCCATATATGTATATGTATATTCAATATTAAAGAAAATTATTCCATCGTAACGTTTCGGAAGTAAGTGTGCGAGCGCCATATTTACATGTAGCTGAGTCCTCGCTGCGCCTTATGCATACTAAATAGTCTAGAGATATCCTGACGACTTGTAAGCTTTCGTCTCGTCTGAACTTCGCCGGAAACTGGCTGCTTATTATACTGGCATTGTCTGCGTTATCTGAATCCGTCTGATTTACCAGACAATGTCTTTCTATATCCTCTTTTTCCAAGTGCTCTTGCATTTTTGTATGAGGCTCTTTTATTCAAAACAAAAGCGGCTTTGACTAGCTTCTCCTTTAAAGAATAAGTACAGTTGATAACAAAAATCGCACAACATAATTTAAAAACATTTTAATACTTTTATTATTCCACATTTTAATTAATAATATCAATTTAGATATTTATTCACCTTAGATTTTTAATTTTCAATTTAACATTTCTCTGCAGATTTTAATATAAAACTCATATGACTTTCACACAATTACTTTAAAAAAATGTTTTATTTATTATTTCTACATCATTAATAATAATCATTTAAACGAATCAAGTAAAGCCCATAATGAAAAATTTCTAATCATCTTATATATAAATTAAACATTTTAGACACATATATTTGGGTCTTCGGTATATTTTATATTTGTTTACTATTAGTTTTTTAATGTTACGGAAAAAGGACGTTATCCTTTGACGGATTAAAGTCCATTCTAAGTCGTATATCCATCGAGTGCAAGTAATATGGGGACAAAAAGCTGGCGTGTCGTATTAGATTAGTGGCAGTGATAGACGGACGGACCATTCGGGGCAAGATTAATGGGCTAAGTGACGAGTGGGAGGTTTTCCTGAGCATATACGGAGTTGGGAAGTAGTCCCCACACATTTATTACTTAGACTGTTACAAATTGTGAAAAATTTTCATTGGGGCATCAGTTCAATCTTTGTAACAATTGAGAATAAACGAAATAAACTATAACGAAAACGTATACACCTGTACGTACACATTTTGAGACTGGAAATTGTAATAAGGAATCAATATAATTGTAAATATTATAATAAATGTATTTTTAGTATCCATACTATAATATTATAAATGCGAAAATATGTGTGTCTGTTTGTATGTTACCTTTACACGACCAAACGGGTGTACGTATCTCAATGATATTTGATATGATACACATGGATGTAGACTAAAAAATAATCTGGAAGAAGTAAAATGTTTAGTGACAGTTAGGTAAGTGGTCATTAGAAAGAAAGAAAGAAAGAAAGAAAGAAAATTGTTTAATTGGTACACTGAAAATAATTTTTAAAATTAAGTTTACATTTTATATTAATAATTAGAGTACCAACTAGGTCTCCGCTCAGCATATGTCGTGACGATATATAAATATAATAAAATAATAATAATAATACACATACATACATAAATCCAGGCGGACAACACAAAGCAAACATTTACGACATAATACCATATATAAATAAAAACCAAACATAAACTACACACTGAAAACATAAAATAAACATAAACATAAATTCTGGTGATACTAGGATACCCTGCATTACCCCGCTCTTGGAGTGCAGACACATCACGGCACAGTTTTCTGAGTGAGGAGGAGTATTTTTTTAAATTTATTTTTAAAAATCTGCACAGTTAAGGAATCTTTTATAGGAGGAGGTATATTATTCCAGCACTTCGTAGCAGAATAGCGAAAACTACCACGAAACGCTGCCGTTCTATGTAGGGGCACATCAAATGAACGCCGCGTGAATGATATTTTTTTCGTAAAGATATTCGGGAATCTTTTTTTTTTACAACTTCAAATAGTAAGCTGGCAAAGTGTAGTTTACGCCGTGTTTCCATACTCATAAGGTCTTTACTATTTAAATATGGTGATACGTGGGCTCTGCGAGGTATCGGAAAACAAAATCTTGCACAAGAATTTTGAACGCGCTGTATAATCTTTTTTGTGCGAGCTTATGACTGTGTCCGCATAATTCAACTTGGATAAAATCAAGGATTCGCATAGATAAATTCGCATGTCCACGGATAAATACTGTCTAACCTTATATAATACTGAGATTAGGACTGAGATATATTTTCGTATCATTCAAGTAATACTTATATACAAAATAAGCATCGAATTAAAACTTGTTTTAGTCATTTGAAAATAAGTTAGTTTATTACAATAAGTAGGATCATATAGTTTATAACAAGAATAATAATAAGCTGTGGTGATACGTGATTTTAGTTGCTTCTCTTAAATTAAATTTGATTTCCGTTTTTTTTTATTTATTAACTCTTACGTAGTAACAGAGAAGTGTATGGGCGTGTTAAGGAACATTCACACTGTATTATATCGCTTCGTGGGTGGTGAGAGTGTTATTTAGCAACTTTCCTTAGAAACGCAACACTGCAATCATTTTAAGAATATGAATATAATTATTATTGAATGTAAGCGGATTATCGTAATAAGAGAAAATAATCGAACTAGATACAGATACAAATTAAATGCAATATGCATTTAATTCTTCAATTTTTTTTAAAAGTAATGCTTACATAAATGTAAAAATTATTCCCAAATATATTATATTTTTAACAACGTTAACAATCAACAATTTACAACCACATTTCAATAAAACTAATATAAAACAAAAGACTAAATTATAAATTTATTATGTGCCAGTATCAAAAAAGGCGGTAGATATATATCACGTTAAATGTTAACTATTTGTCACTCCTAACATATAAATAAGTATTTTATTGTTTGTATGACAGTTACATTTAGCACCGACAATACATTAATTACTATTGAAATAAACCCTTTTATACGCAAGCCGAAAAGAAGATTACCCACGATTACAAGTTAAATTAGCCGACTTGGTGTATAAATCAGACTTGAACCCGGTTTAATTACAATTTAAACACGGCGTGACCGTAGTGGTTAGCGGCTTCCTGCGCCCGCGCAACTAGGTCGTGTTTGTATTAAACTTTAGTTATGTAAGTGTTAACTGGTTCATTGCAATGCTGTAAGAGAGGGGAAGGAGGGAGCTATTTTGTATATTTTCTGCATAGTATTGTATTGTATATACAAATATATAATTCATGACAAATGTAGTTGATTCCTTAAAAGAACCCGGTTGCCAGATGTAACCAAACTTTGAACTATTTATAAGATCAGTGTTAGAGTAATTGCTTTCAAAAAATAAAATATTCTTTGAAAGCAATTACTTCATAAAAGCGCATTCGGTTTTAATAAGAATATCATGTATCATACCAGCAAGAAAAACCCTCGAATTTTCATACTTGCAGCTAGGGATCATCAATAAATTATATCACACCTATTTTTATGAGATATAGGTGATTGTATATATTTTATGAGACAAAGCGGTGAGAGATTCCTAAATTTCGTGTCACATTTCCAAATCTAACACATCTTGGTATTAGACAAGACCTTTGGATTTTTTACTAGAATAGTTCACATTCCAAAATATGTGACGTCAAACTAGAATATGATAAACATAAATGGAGGTCTAATATGACATATGACTACCTGTGACAGGACAGGGGGAGGGGTCAAAAATCATGTATGTAATTTATGGACAACTCCCTATATGATGAAACGTTAATGAAATAATAAAGTATCTTTACAACGTGAGCAAGTGGCTAGGTATATAGTTGTATTTCGAAATTTCCTTCTCTTTTCCATTGTATTGTGCTTTGTTACTTCAGCCAACTCTTACGAAATCCTTCGGTGATAAAGACTGATGATATTATATATGCTTACTCTGTTACTGGAAGGATCATATAATTTTCTCTTGAATTGATAATTTGTGCTTTGTTCTCCTAATCGCCTCAAACAATGTCATCGCCATTTATGATAAATAATCAAACAATTCAAAGAATGACACATTGCATTCCTACTTCACCATAATACGGCCATAATAATAAAAGTATCGGCTTTTATTTCCACCTTCTGCATACCTAACATATAAAACCAAAAATACATTTTATTTCACCAACGGATGGTGCATAATGCGTTACTTAAATCTCAATGTGAATGGAAAATATTTTCGCTTGCTTTTAGCAAATTGTCTGCTACCTCACATTTTCCCGCATCAATTTCTCTGTAGTTCTTTTAATAGCTCTCACTGCTCATGTAACGAACACGTCGTTTCGGTATCTTTTGTTACGTTTAAATGATGCGCCAACACTATAGGGAATGTTGCTCTTTGTTTTATCATATCTTTGTTTTATTTAATCTTACCTACAAATAAAGCAAAATAGTTTCTACACAATATACAGCATACTCGTATATAAATATCTTCTTTTATATTATATTTAAGGCTCTATCTGTTCTTCATTAAGTATATTATTATTATTACTAGGTAGGGTTACCAACCACGTTACAATGGGTTTGAGATCTATCTTATTTATCTCATCCACCAAACAATAGCAATGGCTATGCAGACTGCCCTTGGATATAGAGCCATGGGCTTGTTTACTATTTTAGATATATGAAAAAAATGCTTTAATATTTTTGAAGAAACTTTATAAGTACATAGATATATTATACTGTAGAAAAATGATTTAAGTATATTCAGAATTCACTGTAAAGGTAAAAAAGAAAAATATATATACTGGCATGATTATAAAAACATATCTAACGGTAACAGTAACTCAAAATTTGTCAAGTGTGAATGCATTACAAAAATCTAACCATCCTTGTATACTTTTTATTGAGGGGGCTATTGC